GTGTGGGACTTACAAGTAAACATGCACAAAAGTGGGTTGCACATGCAATCAAAACATTGCGTTTAATGACACTAACACCGTCATGCTTAATTAAGAGTATCATCTCATGTAATTTGGTGGGATTTACTTCTGGGCAAGCATGCATAGATTTGAGTAAACCCCATTGATTTCCACAGAATTTACGTTTTTGTTTGTTTGTTTTGTTTATTGCACTTATATCCCATCTTTTCCTCCAAGGAGCTCAAGGTGGTGTACATGGTCCTTATTTAATCTCTTTATTTAATCTCCACAACAACCCTGTGAGGTAGGTTAGGCTGAGAGACATTGGCTGGCCCAAGGTCACCTAGTGAGCTTCATGGCTGAGCAGGGATTTGAACCCTGGTCTCCCAAGGTTGCAGTCTGGCACTCTAACCACCACACCTTGCTGGCTCTCTACTTCCAAGTATTAGTTGTGGGTTAGGCTGTGAATTTAATTTAATTTAGAGAGGAAATCATGGCGGCATGACCATGGCAGAGGCAAATTGGTTTCATTTTTTAAAAAATGGTTTTTGGTTGCTTGATGCTTATTTTAATTTTTCCTTTCTATGGTTGCTCTGCTTAGCAGGCATGTTTTTTGTAAAAAAAGAAAACCTCTCATTACTGGGTCACCCTTAAAACTTTAAAGACTTTATTCCACAGCTGGAGCTAGCTTGGAGTGGGGAAAGATATCCATTTCCCTTTCAGTTCTTGATAATCATGCAAAAAGTGGAGGCATGTGGATGTAGGAAACATATAGAAAACCATGTCTTTTTCAAATATTAGCATCCATTATAAAAGTTACTACATGCTAGCCAGTCTTCGGAACTCACAGTAAAAACCTATGCATGCTTACTCAGAAGTCAGCCTCACCATGTTCAGTTGGGCTTATTCATAGGTAAGTGTGCACAGGACTGCAGATTTAGCTGTATTCCCAAAGTTTCTGCAAAATTAATCTCGGGATGCATTTGATATCTGTGTGCACATATGTTGATAGGTGTGCACAGCAAGGCACCATGCAATGCAAAGGTGGCCATTTTGGATACTACAGGAAGATTATTATTGTTTTGAACTGTATATTGTATAACACTATCCCCCCCCCAACTATACCTATTTTAAATCTTTCTTCATCCCATTTATCTGTTGAGGGTGTTGTACACAATCCCTTCCCTCACAAATTTCTTTCCTCACAACAGTCCTCTGAGGTAGGCTAGGCTGAGAGCTGAAGGTGACCATGTCAGCTTTATGAGAAGGTTGGGATTTGAAGTGGATATTCGAGTGTTTTACTGTATGCATTGAGCAGGCAGGGCAGGGGAAACGCAGGGCTCACACAATGATTCTTGGCATCGGAACTGAATGTTAAAAACAGGTAACGGCTTCAAAGTTCCAGAGAGCACAAAACAACTTGATGTTTGTGTGCATCAGTGGGTGGTGGCTACAGTCATGTGCATTGGAGTTGTGCTTTAGAAGAGTTTTGTACTCTACCCCCCCCCATAAAGTAAAATTTATTTCACAGCTAAACTGGCAGGAGAGGCACCATTCTGTGGTTTGCCTCAGGTGCCAAAATGTGCTGGGCCAGCTCACCCATGAGGCAAGATGAGGCAATTGCCTCAGGTTGCAGAGCCTACTTGTAGGGAGGAAATGGAGGAGGCTACCCACTTAGGTCAACTAGAGTCTGCTCCTGCCAAGCATAATTCCAAGCTTGCCTCACCTCCCACAGTGATGGCCTTTTATTCACACCTCAACTGTTGTGTAAGGTTGTTTTGATTCTCCCCCTTGTTCCTGATGCTGATCTCTATTCCCCTCTTATTCCTAATGTAAATCTTTATTCTCCTCTTGCTCCCAGTGTAGATATTTATCCTTGCCTGCCCCTGTTCCTGATGTAGATCTTCACTCACTCCTTCTTCCCTGGTGTGGAATCACCATTTTGTGGTTCACCTCAAGTGCCAAAATGTATTGGGGCAGCCCTATCAGGCTCCTATGTGATCTTAGAACGAAACCACCAAGTAGCACTAAGACTGACCCAGAGTCAGCAATCTGACACTTCCTTCTTCAGAATGTAAATCAGTTAGGGCTGACATCTCCAAGCTGGTGCCCTCCAGATGTTTTGGACCAACACAGCTGGCTGCGGTGATGGGAGTTGTCATCTGGAGGGCACCAGGTTGCAGAAAGCTGTGCAAGTGTATTGCTTTCAGGGCTGCAGCAAAGCAGTCTAATGGTTAAGGTATCCTTTATCTTCCAATTTACAGGAAGAGGAACTTGGCTAAATATTCAGACAGCCCCAATGAATGTGAAAGAAAGGTCAGGTGCCAACCAGGCCAAAACAAACCTCTGATTACCCATAACTTTCCTGTATAGAACTATTAAATCACCAGGTTTTGTCTTTAATGCCCCTTTCCACCTTTGCTATTAGTTGATCAGATACAATATCTGCCTGAAGGAGAAAGATATTAAAATAGGCACCACTATAGGTGCTTCCACATGGCAGCTTGTTGTGCTCATGCATGCAGGCTTTGGGGGGGGGGGGGGCGAGTCCACATGATGGGACTCAAAAAGCAACCACCACCTTGCCCTTGGAATTTAATTCAGATTTCAATTTCCATGAGGTTTTTATTTTTGTTTTACTTGCTAGATTTGCTGTGGAAATGGTAAATCCCGATTGAAATGTGAAGCAGTATGGGATGGCATCTTGATGAAAACAGTATTGTATAGATCCCATGCAAAATGTGAGCAGCAGCATTTCCACAATCAACTGCTGCATGGAAGCATCCTATGAGCCCCAAGGATATAATCTGGAGGAGTGGGAGTCATGACTGTGCCACACTGAAAGGAACAAAACAGGACTTTGTGGTAAGTAGCTGAAGACCCTTGGTCACTTCAATGCTTTCCTTCCCTCTTTGGAAATGCCCTTAAATCCCTAGTCACTTTATCATTTCCCAGTGCAGCAGGTCCTAATCTTAGCTACATCTGCTTCCGAAAGGCTACCCAGCTGAGAGGCCTTTTCCATTATCAAGTTTTCATAAAAATCAGTAGCAAAATGTACAGGCTCAGGTTCACAAATGTTTTTTTTTTTCTTCCTTCGAGGAGACTTGGGGTGGGGGGTAAGATTTGAAATAAGGCCTTTTGATAAAGTACATTGCCATTAAGCAGCCAGCACTTATTACTGTCCCCAGAATGCACTTACCCCCCTATATCTAGTCCCCAACTTGACGAGATCATAAAGAGTTCCACTTCCATATTTGTATGATATATGACATCAACATACAAATTCGTAATTGCATTAGAAATTGTTTTTTAAAAAAACAAAACAACCCTTCAAACAATAATTTCTTTTAATCGTTTAGAAAACACCAAAGCTTGGAGCAGAGAGCTCTTCTAACAGGAGAAGCGTAGAAATGGCTACGAAACAGCTCAAAACAAAATACCAAAACAGTGTATATGAAATGCATTGGTTCCCATTTTTCCCCCATCACTATTTTTTTTTTTTTAGAATCTATCCCAAGTCGTATTATAAAATATAGAAAACTGAGTTACAAATATGAACAATACAACTTTGCTTTTGAAATAACCTTCAGCTACAGGTTTTGCTTGAAAGAAAACAGGCGACGGTTTAACTGTTGCTCTTCATTTCACTGACTAATGTACACACTTGAGTTTCCAGTAAATTTACCTAGAGTGATTTTGTTTGATGTCTAAAACCCTCCAATCAAACACTCACAGAATGAGGTTTAAGTATTTCATCAATACTTTCCAGAGGGCAGTGTAATTTCCCAGTTTCCATTTTAAAGTCCTTCTGGCCTCCCTACTAGAGGGCAAAAATTCATGAAATGAGGTAAGTTAATTTGGCACACACATGTTTAGTCATGCCCATAAAACTTTTGGTACATTACAGTAAAAGTGAACATCATTTTCATAGTGGTTGCTTTTGAAGGGGGTAGCTAATCGTATCAATGGAATGTTTACAGTAAATCAGAAGGCAAAAGAAAAATCAAGAAAGAAAGAAAATAGCTCCAGTAAACACTCACAACCCATTGTTGATAAAGAGTTGTAAAAATATGTACAGTACATCAATTCTTCAGAGTTTGGCACAATTTGTGTGGTTGTTGTCAGTAATAGTGCATCAACAACTGTACAACAGTATGACTTCTGAAACACAGGGAATACTATGTTAGATTTGCTGTTAAAGATGAAAAGTCCCACAATTTCAAAGTTTTGATTTCAGCACTTAAACACTTGAACATATTACAAGGCATTGTTATATATATATATATCTTTCTTGAGCAAGGAAGTGGTGGGGGGACAAAAAAGAAAAAAGGGAGGAACCCAAGCAAGCATCAAACGTCTTTCTAGAAAAAGGTGTCTCTTCTCCAAATACAGGTTTTAAAAAAATGCTCTCTGCTTTAAGAAGAATGTAGTCTGTTTCCCTGCAGAAAAACCAAACGTTTTATGCCATCTTAGTTAGGTCAGGTGGTGTCATGTATGCTCTAACTTGGATAGATGAAGCTTTATGGTGCCAGTTAGCAGATAAACAGCAGGGGGCTAGAATGCATACCCAGAAGCCACATGGTGCACAACTAGGAATGAGTTGTCATTTTGCAAACTAAATGCTGTTTGTTTGGCTTTTTTAGGGGGAGGGGGGATGCACCACCTCTCTTTTCTCTTTATTTTTCAAACTGAAAAGTTAAAAAAGTCTTTTCCTTTTTTGAAAGCGTAAGAAAAAGGGAGAGCACAAAACAAGCCCTTAAAAATAAAACAAATGAATACAAACTGAAGAAGCCAAACAGCAAGGGGGAAAAAAGGAGTAGCCTTGTTAATTTGTTTTTAACCCCAGCCAAGCCAGAGGAAAAAAAGTTTGGTCATTCTTTTAGGTAGCTTGCAAGAAATAAGTATTTTCATGCACTTTTGAGAACATAAAGGAGAACAACCACCAAAAAATATTAGCAGGTAGTAGGGGGAGGGGGCATTCCAGCGAGTTTGGTGCAGCATTACCTCAGTTTCTCAAATGAAGCCGTCGCAGACGGGTCCTTACGGACCTGCTCACGCTCCGCTTGCTTTGCTTTACAGTTGTCATCTCTCAGTGACTTAGAAGTGGATTTATGCCGATACAGCTTTTTATGGGTGGGCTCGTTTTTGGCTAAAGTGCTCAGGTTACTATAGCTTTTATCAAAAAAGGGAGAGTGAACGTCTGGGGAGTACCCAGCTGAACAGTTGGGACGTCCAGGATCACAGGAGGCAGCTCGGCCGCTGGCTTTGTTCAAACCCTTGTTCCCTGGCTTGTGACTCTTTGCCGTTGCAGAAGAACCACCATTCACCTTTTTCTTGGACTCTTGTGATGTGCCAGCCAGGATCTTAAGAGTTTTCAATTTCAGGCTGTTTGATTCAGGGGGCTGGAATACATCAGAGGCATTGTTATGAGAAACGGGCCCCCACAGTGGCTCAATGGAGACCTTCATGAATCTCTGAACATCTGCCATTCCAGATGCTATGTTTGACAAAATGTTGGACGGCTCCTCAAATTCCCTTTGATCGTCATTGAGGAGGCTGTTAGCATTACCTAGGCTTACTTCAGACCAGCCTCCGCTGTTGTCCTTCCCCAGGGCCCATTCCCCAGGGAGCCCATTAGGCTTCCCTATCTGGATGGAGGTCGGGCCACCACGGTGGATGGATTCCACCAACGCTTTTGTCGCTGAGGCTGAGTTGTTCAGTGGAGCTGCTGCTCTCCCACCAACGCTCAAAGCCTTTTCATCATGAGCTCCAGCCACATTCTTCCCTTTCCTTGTTGATTTGGGAGGCTGTCTAGAATTTCTGCTTTGCCCCTTCTCTGTCCCTTTGCTGGCTTTGGGTGCTTTCTTCCGTACGGTTTTCTGTGGAGGGTTTGGGGTTGCACCCATATTTTTATTGGATGAACCTTTCCTCTTCGGCTTTGACACTTTACCGTTGCTGTTAATTTGGCCAGATGGCTCATCAAATGTTGACAGGCACGGGCCCTTTTCAAGAAGGCCGACAGAATCTTCGTCATTAAACATATGGAACTGGAATTGGTGATTATTTAAAGTAAATCCATTATCAGCCTGATCTTGGTGCGTCTGGAGGACCCCACATCCCCACTTGACTTTCTCAGGGTTATTCAGCACAGCCTGCGAGCTCTCGGGAAAACATTTCATTGTTCCCAGTGGTTTGACTTCTGACCCAGTTATCTGTGGGGAAAGGTTAGGGGTATCTGGGGGAGACATTTCTGAAAGAGATGATTGGCGGAACTTGTCAGGAGTGAAGTTGGAGATATCCAAAAGGTCTGTAGACTCCTTCAAAGGTGTTATTTCATCTATGCTTTGCTGAATCACTAGTTTGGGGCTGCAGTGGGCCAAGAAATCATCTGCAATGTCATCTTCACCATCCTTTTCACAGGACTTTAAACTTAGGGAACTGAAGTTGCTGGAACTAACTGACAAAGAGCCCACTGAATCAAAGCTAATCAGCCTCCCGTCGTCTGTGCTTAGCGCACCTTGTTGGAACTGAAAATGCCCCTCTCTGTTATTGAAATGACACGACTGGAAAGATTCCTCTGACTGCGACTGCTGGCTATCTGACATGTACTTTTTTTGGTATGGCAGTTTGCTACTATTCAGGTTAACTTGACTGTATCCAGAGGCTGGAGGGCCATCTGCACCTGCACAGCTCCCGAACTCTGCAGCCGACTGTGCAGGAGCCTCCCGCAAATCACTCGGAAATTCCTGGCTGCTGCCACCGGATGCTTTGCTTACTGGCCAGAGGCCTCCGAAGCTGCTGGGCTCCATCTCCAAGTGGCTTGGTGACTGCTGCAGCTCTGACTCTGGCGGGGACAGGACACAGCTCTGGGCGGGTTGCAGAGTGCAGAATGCCTTCTCTGCTTGAAGAAGGCCAGAGAGGGGCTCCTCCTGCTGCTGCTTTGACTGCTGATGACTGAAGTAAGAGATCCCAGTGTTGCTTGACAAATCAGAGGCATCTAACAGGGTCTGCAGATACCCTCCAGGGATGAGGGGCACACTGGCAGCAAGATTAGCAGACGTAAGGGCCTTGTCTGAAGAGCAGGCGGTAGCTAGGAAAGCCGGAGGATTTTTAGCAACCTTATCCTCCTTGTGCTCGGTAAGGCGAGAGCCATCTGCAGGGCAAGGACCACTTTCATCCATTGCAAGAGGCTCCTGGTTCTCCAAGGCTGGGGAGGCCTCTGCCAGGCTGGCCTTAATCTGCTTGCACTTCAGCCTGGCTTCGCTTTTGAACTTGATCCTGCGCAACACTTTCCTCTCAGGCCCTTTGAATTCCTTTGGTGAGGCAAGGCTCGCGATGTCATTCAGCTGCAAGCCGTTAGCACAGCTGGGTGTTGCAACAGCCAGGGTCTGCATCCCTCTCGGGCCTGCATCGCTATCTCCAATTCTGCGGCAAACCTGCCTTGGGTCTGAAGAACAAGAGCCGGGCTTGGGCATGGGTTGCTCAATGGCTTTGATTCTCTGAATCCTGTGCCTATTGGCCAATTTGCCTTTTCGCTTCCGTGGGTGAGGCAAGGAGGAGACCTCAGAGCCATTGAGATATAAACCATGTTTGCTCTGAAGTTCTGATTTCAGTCGGTTCTGCCACTTCTCTTGCCAAAAGCTCTTCAGGGGGGCCATCTTGGCATATTTTTTCAAACGTTCTTCATTCAGGGTCACTGTCATTTCGCTGGAATCCACTTTGGAAAGCTTGACAAGCATTTGTTTCTGCCCTTTAAAACGGTTGGTAATGATGTATTTTATGATGACTGGGGGCTCTTTGCGAGAAACTTTTCTCCTTTTCTTTGGGCACCATTCATCATCATCCTCCTCCTTGGGTCCATCTGGGTGCCCCTCCTTCTTATCCACAATCTTCTCGCTCTCAATGGAATCCACATCATATAGGTAATCATCGCTGTATCTCACTTTCCTCTTTGCTCGCAGGCCATAGTTCTGTTGTATGAAGGAACTGGAGTGGTCTCTGGGCAGGTACTTATTGCAGTCCTTAAGATTTTGGAGAACATCAAAAGAAGATTCAGTACAGGTGCTGTCATCACTGAAGTCCCCGGGATCCTCTGTGGAATTAACAAGTTCCAAGAAGTGGTTTCTTTTGGGAGAAATGTACTGTACCACTTCTGTACTGGTGCAAGATTTGTTTAAGGCAACTTTCTCACTCTCCTCGTCGTCATCCTCCCTTCCTCCATCTGCCTCCTCTTCCCCCCAAATGATGCTCTCCTCAGATTTGAACTGGGAAGTATCAGTGGCCCCTCGAGGCCCCCTCTTCAAGGCCACTCGGCCTTCCTTCTTAGGGCATCCGCTGAGCACGTTTGGGAAGAAATTAAGCTGGGCATCGTCCTGCAGAGAACCCGCCTTCTCCTTCACACTGTCTTGGAAGGACTCATACCGAATTTTTAAGGAGCAGACGTCACTTCCCAAGTTTGAGTCGTCATCAAACATGTAATTATCCACATCTTCCTCAGAAAACAGGTTCACAGAAAGCTCATTTTTGGAGCAAAGGTCGAGCAGCTCGATTTTGCTTTCACTGATGAAAGATTCAAAATAACCCCACTCCTGGCTGGGATTTGTTAGTAAAGGTTCCTCCCCATTGCACTTGTCTAAGAGTAATCCCTCATAGTAATTTTTCTGAGTGGGGTCCTCTGAATCGCTGTCAGATTTCTCTGCATCTCTCTTGTCTGCTGCCCTTGATTTATGCGCAGGGAAGCTTAAGAGTTGGTCTGAAAGCAGTTGATCCCCATATCTCATGGTTTCCCCTGTGCTCATGCAATGAATCCCTATATCAGAGACTGAACAGGTGTCATAATCCCTATTTATATCACCCACTTTCAGGCTTATTCCTGGCTCTGAATCAATGCCATCCTTTGATTCGATAAAGTAGCCCAGGCAGGTCCGGCTCGGCTGCATCAAGCAGTCACCGGTGAGGGCTGAGATGCTCCCAGGTTCCATAATGTTGAATGGAGCCTTTTCACAGTCTCCGGGCAGGGACCAGGTGCTCATGCCCTTGGAGACGCATGATGTGAGTGAAATGGCGTGTACAGAGGAGGAGTCATCAGAAATGTGGTCAGTTACATCAGCCAGCCTCAGGGGAGAGGGAGGGTTCAGCCAACAGGACTTCTTTGAAGCCGGGGCCTGCTGGGCGCGGCTTCCCCCTTGGCTTTCTTTCAGAGCACCTGGGAATGACAGCGGTGGAGATGGAACTGCGGCCTCTGCATCCTGCGAAGCCTTCTCTTCCCCATCCAGGTCTTGTGACTCTGAAAGAATGAGAGGGAAAAGGAGGGGTGGAGAGAAAAGGGAGCAGGAAAAATAAGACCCTCGGAATTTTCAATCTGAATCTTCCTCCCTCCATGGAGGGTGGAGCAAATGGTTCCTACGAACCAAATGATGTGAAAAATAGCATTATTATTATTATTATTGCTGTCAGTATACCGATGTTTATTCACTTAATTTAGTTGATGTTACATTTAAAACACACACGCATATACACTCTCACTCACAAATTAAAAACAACCCTTAAACTAGCATATCGTGGCCATGTACCAATGAAGAACAGCACATCTAATCCCTGTTTGGTGTTTAAATTTAAAACATGCTTTAAATTAATATTCTCACATCAAGCTGGCCACAGACTAGGTCACTGTACAGAGAAATTTTAATAACAACAACCCAGCTATTAGTTTGAAATTTAATTTCCATGTAGACAGACTCATGAACAATATTAATTATTTAACCTTCCCCTATAATGCTTGTTGATCATGCTCTGCAGCAAAATTTCACTGTGGAGGAGGCTTTTTAATATATATATCTAAAACACCACTTTCAAACTCTCTTTTTTAACTCACTAAGCTTTGATGCATAATATGCAGCTCAGATCATTTCGAAGCAGACAGCTCCATACACAAACACATTGGGGGGGAAAACCCCTTTTCCATCCCATTCTCCAGGGCTCTGGTGCTTTGGCCTATGTTTACCTGATGGTCAGGCTAATTACTAACCAATTGTCAAATGAAATGGAATGGAGTGAAAAAAGTCATAAATAAAATATTATGCATGAGAATTCTGGTATTCCTGTGAGCATCATGGTAAAAAAAATATATTCGGAGCAAAGAGTACAATGTACTCTTCACAAAAGCTTTTTCACAAGCTGCCTGTTAACCCCAACCACTCTGTTTTTAAATCCTGCCAATTATGAAAATTAAAAATTGAAACATAAGAAAGAAGCCCAAACTTCCAAGCTTCCTAGAGAGTCTAGCATAGCAAAGTGACCAAGAGACATAGTTACAAATGAAAAGGGCTCTGGTTCAAATCTCACCCCTGACATGAACTCATGAGGGATCCTTAGGAAAACCTCCATATGGTGATACTGATAATAATCATAGAATCATAGAATCATAGAATCATAGAGTTGGAAGAGACCACAAGGGCCATCGAGTCCAACCCCCTGCCAAGCAGGAAACACCATCAGAGCACTCCTGATGAATAACCTTACAGGGTTATTATAAGGAATGCAACTGATAATAAATGACTCGTGGATAATGTGTGCACTCAAAAGCATTGCATGAACGTGAAATATTTAATCTTATTAAGAAAATGTTACAAGGAAAGCAGGCTGACGTTCAGGGACAGATCTTGGAGTAAATCAGTTTCCATTAGGAGTTGGCAGTGGGTCCCTTGCTACAAATAGATTTCCTTACCATCCTCTTTCACCCCATTAATTGGGATTGGTTCTGGGTCTTCTGAGGCACGCTTATTATCTTCTTGGTCACCCATCAATTCAGTCATGAGTTCATGAATCCATTCTGAATTGAAGTCGGCCAGCCTACACATGTACAAAAAGAAAATTACAGGACATTAGAACCCCCAAACCAATTTGCAGCCCTGTGAGTGAAAAAAAAGCTCAGTTAAGAAGACTGAAATTTGGAAGCAAAATAACTGGCCTATCTTGATGTCTACTGTATTTTTCAATCAGGTCAGAAGCAAACAATGTCTACCACAACCGCACAACACTTCTACAGCCCCAATTGTGTGCAAAGCACTGCCCAGAACCCAGAGGCATATGGGTCACATCCAGGGCAATTATATTCTACACTGGGGATGCCTCCAGACTGGCTTTTATTGCAGGATGGGTGCTCTTTATGTATGCTCATTTTCCATAGCATCCACACAATGCAGTTGGCATCAGAATGTCAGCCTGTATCCTCACCAAACATTTAATCTGGCTTTACCCTTTCCAGAATTTTTTTTTTAAATTAAACAAATCAGTTGCCTAAGACACATTTGTTATATCTGAACAATGCTTTTACAGTATTCAGCCTCCACCTGGAAGAATACTAGGTGAACAAGACTGAGATGATCAGCATAGATTGGGAACTGACAATGGTTTAGATGTCACCGCGAAACCATGGTTTGGCCCTTGAGGTAGGGATAGGCCAATCTGGCAATTTTGGTTTCTCTCAGTTTCTCAATCTCAAGTTCAGCCCTCCAGATTGGTTCACAATTTTCTTTTATGAATAACCACAGCATTTTAGAGCAAATTATTCATTATATACAATTTTTTTGTGTACAATTTCCTCTAATACACAGATTTTTTGCTTATTGTTTCAGAATGTACAAATCATCAGCATTTTAGTGCAAATTATTCATTATATACAAATTTGTGTGTAGAATTTCCTCTAATACACAGATTTTTTGCAAAATGATTTCCCCTAATATAATTTTTTGTATGTTATCTTCACTTAACATATGGATTTTTATGCACACTTTAGCCTAGTATATACGTTTTAGTACACCTTACTTGGCTGGAGAACAACATTACAAAATTTGGAGACATCCGAATTTTGTGGGATGGCTGAGTTTAGATTTGCTTATTGTTTCAGAATGTTTGTGGTCCCAATCCCTTGCATTGTGCCCAGAAAGCAGTTGCATTGAATTCTACTAGCACAACTTTATAGGGTCCAAATGCTTGGCTACAAGTTAATCACTTCATAGCAATTCAGTAATGATAATGAAATTTCAGTTCATAGATACTATACACAAAGCATAAAAGTGTAGATTATAGTAGCTGAGACATAGCTAGAAACCCAAAAGCAGCTGGAGGAGGAGGAGGAGGAGGAAGAGGAGGAGAGGGCAGAGGATGAAGAAAGAGCTACACATGGAACTGGGTGTGGAGAGTGCAGTTGAATGGGACATAGCTGTGGGCAGCCTAAGGAAGTACCATCTACCTTGGGCCTGCCCATAAAAAGCAAGTCTAGCATGAGAAACTAATGTGATGTCTGCTGCTTCCAGAAGCCCTTCTTATTGTGAGACTTTTGTGGGTGAGCTGAGAGTTTGTCTGGACCCTGGGTGAGAACCCAGAAGCTGAGAGGGAGGGTGTGTGCCAGAAGGAAAATGAAGTGACATATATATGTATGCATATGACTTTGTATTAATGTAACCTTTTTAAATGCTACTGTGTATTTTTGTAATATTTTGTTTAAGTTGTCATTGCTTCAGTTTTCTGTACACCGCTTAGAGATATTTTAAAAGTTTTAATAATCAATCAATCAATGTATGGGTGGAAAGTATGGAAGAAAGTGATCCTATTTGAAACTATTTTGTGCAATGCCCAATAAGCAGAGTAAAAAGGCAATCATGTCATGAACAAGCAATTCCTCACTAACCACCAGGGAGTGCCAAAGACCTCTTGGAAAAACAACAACTGTCTTATGCAGCCATCTAAAGACAAGGAGCCAGGCTGCGTTAAGGAGCTTCTTCTGAGTGAGAGGTCCATAGTCTTGGTGTCACTACAGAGGAGAGCTTGTCTTGGATACAGAAGTCCCCCAGAACTAATGTCCTGGGATTCTCCAACACCATGCCAAAGACCTCCTTTGCCAGCTCAGTCAGGAAGGTGGTTGGGCCACAGGGCAGATAGTCCACCAACAAGATCCCTGTCCTGTCTCTGCCTCCCAGCACCGAGTACAAACCACCAAATCCATCTCCCAAATGGACTGGCCTCCTAGTGAGAAGGATGGAGTTTTTATGAGTTACTGTCATGCCCTCTCCTCATCCCTATGCCCTCAGACTTGTGCTCCACGGGATACCCAGTTGGGAAAGCTGGGTAAGAACACACACACACACACACACACACACGTGCCCAAGTCTCTGCAATGCACACCAGATATACACCTCACCCACAAGCAATTGTTTATACCCTCCATTCCCTTTCAGGCATAAATAATACATCATGCAATTACCACAGAGTGGGGCGGTGCTGGTAGCCCAGTTCCCAGATGTTCCCAGATTAGTGTAGACTTCCGAAATAACAAAGCCAGTTGCTTGCATTCAGAGCCCCAATATGATTAAGGGCCTCAATCTCACAGAAGTCTAGCCTGGATGCCAAGGCTGGATCTATGCTTTGGGGCCCTTGGCATTGTATCCTCTGTGTGCATCTTCAGGGACTCTTCTGATTGGCACCAGGTAGCTGCCCCTGTAATCTGTGCTGGATTTTCACCCTTTTCAATTTCTCACAATGTTCTGGAGCAAAAACTACATTGAGGCTCTGATGCATTCTGGAAAATTTAAGATGGTGGCTCTTCACATCCCGCCACTTGGTCATGCACCCCCAGGGACAGGTGGGGTCCTATCAAGTCCTGGAACCCTGTCAGCTAGCCAGAGAATCCAAATGCTAGCACCAGTTGTGCTGGACACAACCGAAGCTGTGTGATGGTGCTCAGATCTGACTTCTCTAGGAAGGTTCACAGTGGACGCACCAACTGCAATTGAATACACACAGTCCTGCCCACAGTCACAACCTGCCTCTCTAGGAACTGGGCTGGGACACATTGCCACATTGTGAACCTGGTATTTCAGAGTGAGTGCATCATCAGCCCAAACAAGGTGAATTTGCAGATGGGCTTTTCCAATGGCCAGAATCACCTCTGTTTTGTTTGCCAACCTCCAACCCATCACTGCTTCCAAACACCATAGTAATTTCCTAGAATCTGTGACGCAGCAGATTAGCTTGGCAGCGGTGGGTTCCATACTCTTATCCCATACTGGGCAGGTAATATTGAGTGTAAATGGGGACTAGATGTGCAGTTTTCCAGCCTGAACCAACAGCCAGAACTCTATGCATACTAGCCCTTGCAAACAAACAAACAAAAAAGCTAGACTCCTGCAGGCCAGCTGCTCAGGAGGCAAATAGCTGAATGTTTGAATTACAGCCTTTTGCTATATGCAGGCAGTCTTGGCTGCATCTTTGTATGCAAGCACTTTGTTGGATCAGAGCCACTACCTCCCTTCCATTATTTCCTTGCATGCACAGCCAACCTGCCAAATTTGGCTTGGAGGGCTGATTTAAAAAGAAATAAAATAATTCCCACTCAGCTGTGTGCACAAATTTGCACATTAGCAATTCACCCAATTAGCTGAAGGTGTCATCATTAGACATAAAGATGTATCGTTTAATTGCCTCTTTAAAATAAATCAAGTTCAGTCATACTTTAAACTCTGATTTGTAAGGCGCAAAGTTCTGTGCTTGGAAGAGTCACTTGTAAGGCATATTCGGCTTTCTTTTTAAACCTGTATCCCGGTAACAATGTTAATGACAAAAGTATTTAAGGAGACCAAAGGTAAAAAGAAAAGAAGACACTATCTGGACATCTTTCCTAACTCCCAGGGAAAGCCATGTTTGCTTAAATCTTGGATAATCACTGACGGGAGATGTCACACTGCGGCTGAAGCATTTTTCTGAGGGCTGAATTATTCACCCATGAAATTCAGCTGTATAAGCTAAGAGCTCCCATTTATCTCTGGCTTCAGAAGTGTCTGACTACATTGTATGGCTCCTGGTCCACCTCCATCCTCTCCAGGAATATCAGTGAATGCTGGTACTGAATCCAAGAGAAATCAGAAACAAGTCATTATATCATAATGAAGGTAACTGCAAAACGCACAGCTGGGCAATAACATTAATGGGACCAACTAAAATGTCCCAAATAATTGACTTGCCAGGGAGTCCTCTGGACAATTTACTCCTTGGAAGGAAAAAGTAAACTGACTGCAGCAAAATGCTTCCAAAATCAGCCCCACTACCTTGCAAAATGTTGTCTTTGCCTTCACCCTTGTTATCAAACACACATACCTGTTTTCCTCTGAAAAGAATGGAGTGAATGTCTCAAACGAAGGTGCCCGTCTGACTATCCTGCCTAGCTTCACTCGGTCAGAAAGCTCCAACACCTCTGCCTCCAATGAATTAAGAAAGGTGTGTAGAGCCTTTTTCTGGATCAAAACTCTGCTGTGCTTAACCTTGTTATCTTCCATAAGCCGGAGGTAAAGGGCTGTGTGTGCTGTCGACACAGAGCTGGGGAGAAGGCTATCAGCTTTCTCAGATGCATCCTTGGCCAGCACAGCATCTGCACTTTTGTGTTGGTGGTGAGTGAGAGGCTACCAGATGATCTAGCAAGCAGCCTCAGAGTCCCCTTCTAATTATACCACCAGTAGGTTGCAAGAGGCTTCAGGAATATTGACAGCTAACACCGATACATCATTGGCCTTGAAACCACTCTCTCTCCTTGTTGTATTTGCACGCTAAAGACTTAAATCTATTCAAATAATAGATTTTAGGCAGAGGCAGATTTAGGGGAGTACGACCAATTCGCCTGCACTGGGGCCCAAGCCAAGAGGGTATTGCAGGGGGTACCACAACAACAATAAACTACGGAAGGCAAGAGGGGGCACCAAATTTTGGTGTCACTGAAATTTTAAGGCCCAACGCCCACCACTGTTTTAGGGGGGTTGTGAATTTCTTTTCCTATCTAAATAAGGATGAAAGCAGCGGCATCTCACCACTCTTCTTACCTAGAAAAGATTCTGGGCTGGGTAAGGGGAACACCTATGTACAAAGGCATTAATCACATTGTGCTGGAGGTACTCGCTTTTGCATATTGAGCGGCTCAGCTCTAATTGTTTCATTAGAATGATTCTGGTTCTGCCCAAGGCTCCAGCAAACACAGAAGGGAGGCGGGTAGAAAACAACAGAGGAAACCCTAATGGGCAATACTACAGCAAAGATAATAAATTGATCAACGCTCCACATCTGACATTAGTTAATTCATCACAGTTTTGCTCACTTAAGGGCAACTACAGAACCAATTTCTCAGTAAAAATGAGCACAAAACACAAAGCAATAGAAATTTGTGCAACACTGTTTTCACAGTATAATGATAATAAAAGTGAAAGCTTCAGTTATTTAGAATTTCTGATAATCTTTGTTTGGTTTTAGGCAGAACTGGAGCCACAGAAAAGCCTGGTTCACTCATAATGCAAAGCCAAACTGTGGCTTAGCAAGTAAGCTTTGTAGGCACACAAAGAAAAATATGTCTTTTATGCCCCCCCCCCCCCGGGATCTGCTGCCAACATGTTACCCAGAGGTAAGCGATAGTTTGGCTTACTGTTACATGGGAACCCAAGGTCATGATTTATCTCACTCCCAAACAAGTTTCTGGCTGAAACCAAGGTATGTTCTGGACTTAAGCACTCATGATTTGGGGAAGACAAACCACAAGCCTGGGTTTGGACATAATACTAAGCCAAACCATCATTTAGCTCTGGTTAGTGTGGCAGCAGCAGAAGTGGGGGATGATTCAGGCAGCCTTGATTTTGCCTCTGGGTTCCTACATGCGTGCTCATTCTCACAAAGCCATGCTTCTGCTTTAGTATTATATTCTAACAGGGTGAAAGAATGACACCATCAAGAAGGGCATAAGTTTTGCTAGTTTTCCTTAAGTGCTCTTTGACCTAAGCATGGAAGCGTTGATTCAATAAGTTACATCACTGTTTATTCATGCCCTCTGATGAGAGCAGGCTGTGCTTAGCTTTCTTGTCAGGTACCATGACAGACCCTCCAAGTGTCCCTATTTTCTGGGATTTACAGAGGTTGTCCTGGTTTCTGATTTGATCGTGGAACGTCCTGCTTTTCCTTAGGATGTCCCTATTTTCATCAGAGAAATGGTGGAGGCTATGCCATGAAAAATAAATACTGAAATGCCAATACCCATTAAACTGAGGAACACCCAGAAAAGACTATTTAATATCTACTGTTGTCTCTGTAGACAAGACGAAAGAGAGAGGGAGAGGCTGTCTTTAATATGATAGTTGCTGGGAAAGGATCCTGTGAAGAGTCAGCTATGATGGGGAAATGAACAATACGACATCCTTAATTACAGTTTCTCACCAGGTGAGGGGGCTGGGTGTTTTCTCCTTCCCTTTCTCTTTCACTGTGGCAGAATTCACTCACTCACCCAGAATCAATGTACTTAAAGGGATTTAACAAAGTCCACCTAGGACTTTGATCTCTTCAAACTGCCTTTTAGACATACATTCTTGTTCCCCTCTCCTCGGTTAAAAGGCCTGCGAGACTTACTGGAGGGCAGGGTGAGAATATGACAGTCGGTGTTCCACTTCATATAAATACTGCACCAATAGTTGAAGCTGTGAACCAGATTTATTTTACAGCCCACTCTCACAAATGTTTTTGGACAGGAGAAGCAGGGTTTATTGGGGGGGGGGGGGGTATTCCGCCTCACACATCTAGAGCAAGGTGATTGGCAAGCATTATTATTATTATTATTATTATTATTATTATTATTATTTGCAGTAGAAATCTAAAGATGAAAACAAGTCATGAAAATTGTGCAATTACAGTGAAGCTGGTAAGATTCCTGCTGCTGTTACAGACAGATGTGCAGCTTTATATGGTCTATACAGGCACATTATGCTTACCGGACAGGGTGAAATGGGGACACATTAAGTCAGGAGAAAAGGACACAGTTGGGCAATCAACAGCTAACCTTTCCTACGGTTCTTAAAAAAAAGTTTAAATTTTATTTTTTATTATGCTTTTATTTTCTTGTAAGCTGCCCTGTGGACCTGATTTAGGGCAAAATTCAGAACCATCTCAAATAAACAAAGCAAATGTAATAACTTAAAGATTTAAGGCACACAGCAACCAAAGTTAAGCCTGCTGTTGCTTTCGGTTTATGGAACAGGTAACACATGTGTTAATCACTCCCAGTGAAAGTAATGAAACATAAAAGTGCTTAACTTTGGCTCAAACATTCCCTTTGTTAATTAACTTATTAACTAAGCCCCCTAACCCTAATTTTCCTGCTATCTAAATGTTTTAAATTTATTGTTATTCAGTAATACGTAACAGGGACGCACTAACAGATATTATGACTGGCAGCAGTTACTGCCTGGAAATTTCCCCACATTGATTGTGGCTTCAAACCACACCTCTTGCCAGGGGTTCATTATGTGGTCTTGGGAAAGTCTCAGTTTGTCACCTGTAAAATGGGAATGGCAACAACCTCCCTTACAGGATTGTTGCGACGGCAAAGGCAATAAGTAGTGCTTACCTTTGTAAACTGAACATCTCAATTAGTCAAACTAATTAAATAAAAATCAATTATACAAACATTATTATTAGTGTTAGCAATGTCACATATAGAATACACCCTCCCAGAGGGCCCATGTGGAATGTAACAACATATTATGAATGTTTACATGTCTTTGAGTTGTATATATCAAGCTGAAAAGAAAACAAATCCTAATGCAATAGTGAAGCCCATTCTCAGTGTAAAACACATGTGTGGACAGTCACTTACCCACAATGTGTCTGAAAATGTAATAAAAGAAGCAGGATGAAGAATTATGGAGATATTTACCTGAGTTGCTAAGCTGCAAATTCACTTCAGGTGTTTCAGTGCTTTTCAGGAGCGTGTATGCTTTTGTATTTTAAAGGACAACCTTGTTCTTTGTGGGGGTTTGTAATAAAAATTGCAAAAGGACTCTACAAAATTCACTCTAAGCCTCTGTGTTACCTTATGGCTTGACCTTCTGACATCCATCTTTTTTTTGGCATGAAACAGGCTGGCAGGAAAGAAAAGCCTCTGCAAGAGCTTCTACTTTCAGCCAGATATAAATGCTACCGGTTCAGAATTACTATCCAGCTCTAGCCAAAAAAAAGAAGCACTCGTGAAAAAATAGGGCATGTCACCAAAAGAGGGCATATCTCAAGAACAGACTTCAGCAGTCATCTAATGGAACTGAAGAGCCCCATCAAACAATAGATCCGGCAGTTGTAGTCTCTCCTCTCTATACGGAAGGGTTGGCCTGACATTAAAGCCCTTACCGGATGCATCCTGACTGGAATCAAAGCTTGCTATGAGGCCAAAGTTGGTCCTTGATTCCCAGTTCTTTACTTAAGGGTAGCCAGAATAAGAAGCTGACATTTACACACCATTACATCCCTAAATAAATAAGCTTTCCACCTGAAAATTAGAAAACCATGAACTGGAGACAGTACACACCAGCATCACCTCCATCTTAAAACTTGGTTCTTGCACAGTGAGCTTTAACACATGATGCCCTGAGGCCAAGATTTAGGAAGAAGAAAGAGAAGGTATGTACTGCCTGAACTGGAGTAGCCCAGCACTCATTTTAATGTTCAAAATTAGGTAAATTTCTGTTTCTTGTTCAGGCAATTCCCTTAGTTGAGTGTTCAGTAAGGAACTGGGCATCAGGAACTACTTCCAGCTGCATATTTTAGCTCAGTGGTTCCTAAATCTTTCGGGGGAGGGGCATGTCCCCTTGGTTTTATTTCCAGTGCTCCCTTCCCAACCTACCCTATAAAAAGCATTCAGTATGGTAGTTTGCAAAACCAACTAAGCAGTGCTATTTTTCTAGAGAAAGAGGTGCTGGAACTCACCATGAACACCTCCTTTGTTCTCTTATAATGGCAATGGTGCCCACCTGAGAGGTGCCATAACCGAGTTCTGGTGAGTTCCAGCTGAAAAAAGCAATGCAACTAAGGCAGATAATAACAGAATAACTGGGGGGGGACGGACTGAAATTGACACATTTCTTCATCCCTAGCTGTTTCCAAGGGCTTGAATATTAGATCATTTTGAAATTTGGAGGCTAAACACAATTAAGGGTATAGCCAGTGCTGAAGAAGATAGCTTTACAGCTCTCTTGAACAGCAGAAGCAACTCCGTATAACAAATTGATGTAGTACTTATTTCCAAAGTCACAGCATTTCCCTGTGTTTTGGAGTGCCAGTGAACAAACGGAAAACAAATAACCTCTCTGCCTTCTTCAAACCACAAGGTAAAGGTAAACACAACAGAGGCCTACCACAAGATCAACTGCAAGTTGTGCCTAATATGGGATACACTTTATAAAATGAGGGAGACTCTGCATGAAATGGCAATCCTAATCTTAGGGATGAGTTTGCCACCCAGCTGCCCTTCATGCGAAAC